GAGTCCAGTTTACATTCTATTCTATACAATGCATTCTATTTTTTTATCTATATGAATATTGCATCGCTGTCGAAAATATTGCTTCGATTAATCTAATCTTCAATTCTAAGCGATTTTTAAACGGACAACAATTCAAACGATTTTCTTTGAATAAACAAAAAAATTTAGCGGTCGAAATATGTCGAAATGTTTCAATGATGCGGATATGGGGAACGTTGAAATTATGACGCGCTGCTGATCGCGGTGGCGTCGATTTCGGCCGCGATCCGCAACGCCCGCCGCGGTCGATAACGGTGCGGTGGAAACGCGTCGACGTTGCCGTAACGTTCGTCGAACACGGCGACGATGTCGCGTAGCAACACGTGAATTCCGACACCAACGACGATGGCTTGGCAACGTCGCGGCGGCGCGAATTCCGCATTCGCCGCGTCGAGGGGTGTATCTCTCGGTGCGAACCGGCTGGAACGCGCGTTCACCGATACATCGACGATGACGACATTTAATTCCTCCTGAAGGAAACCAAGCCGAACAATCGCGATAACGTCGAAATGACGTTAAAATGACTCATGATTGAAAAGTAACTTTTAACTGGCCTGGTGTTTGTTTCAACTTTAAAGATTCGAAGCTTCGATATTAAAATTTTCAAATATTGAAATAATAATTGTATAATTTTGGTTCTTCGAAGACTGTGTCGAATAAAAGATATATAATTTTATTAATTAATTTAACATAGTTAATAGTAACGAATTAATTAATAATAAACGCTAGTAATAAATTATTCGCAGAATTAAGATTCTCATTAATATCAGAATATTAATATTGAAAATATTTATTGACATAAAAAATTATTAAATTGCTTGTCAATCAATAATGTGACATATTATTCTGATTCTGCTCATGATTGCGTTTCAAAAAATATTTCGACGCGCGATTTGTAGAATCAGATATGTATATAAATTTACACAGAAATATTTAAGCATTTAGGGTCTCTTTCACTCGATTAAGTTAACCGACGGTTACATAGGGCTCATTTAGGCCCAGTTTCACAACTCATTATTACTCACTATTACTCATTATTATTTAAAATAAGTTAAACCTTAGTTAAAAGTTAACCATGAATTGTGAAACTAGGTTTAAGGCCCGTTTCCACCAACGCAGATTAACTTTAATCTCGGTTCAACTTACTCTTTGTCTTTTTCTAGTTCTAAAGATTAGAAAAGGACGAAGAATAAGTTGAACCGAGATTAAAGTTAATCTACATTGCTGGAAATGGGCATAAATGAGTCTCATATAATTGTCGGTTAACTTAATGAGATTGGTGAAAGAGACCTTAAAATCCACTTTGACTGAATATAGAATTTCTCTTGTTTAATTTGATTTAATTATAATAATATATTGTTATAAAAAAAATGTATAAATATATTTACAAATATATTTTTGTTATTTTCTATTTGCACAAATACATTTTTCACAGTTCATATCGTCAAAGTTATCAAAAATAATTCTACTTTTAACTCTTTAATTTTCAGAATGCAATCAGAAAGGTGTGCTTGGATCCGATTAAATTCTCTGTTTTATTAATATTTTTCATCTACAAAATGAATAAAAGAAGCAATTAATAAGAAATAAGATGAAACTTCTTTCTCTATTTATTTATAAATGAAAAAATAAATAATTCTACAAATAAATAATCATGACGTCACGAGGACATTTTGTTTTGTTTGGAAAACATCTCGGGAAGAGGCATGAGGATATTTATTTGGTTCCTTACATCTTTATATTATTCACAAGGAACGGCAAGATCACACGCATAAAGCGGCGTCTACAATGAAATTTTAAGAAGTAAAGCTAAAACTTAAGCCTTAAGCCATAAAAAATTGATCAATCACAGTCGAATGTGAAAAAAATAATCATCTATAGATCTGTTTTCTATAACTGAACTAATGTACTTTTGGAACTTCAAGTAAGATACATACATATATGTATTTGATATTTGTTGAAAGCGAGAAAGAGAGTTTTAGTGCAGCCCAGTGCTTAGAAAAAAAAAACAGGCCTTAGTCAATTTCTTAAGGCTTAAAGTTTAAGTTTCATATTTTAAAATCTCATTGAAAACGTCGCTTAACGAGATACAATATCTTTGTTCATTCACTCTACCACTTGTCGTACCAAAATATGACTTTCACCGTCTTTTATTTTTGAAACTCCCTGCCGGGATGAAGTTGTCCCCCTCTTATTTCGATGCACTCACTTCGTCGTTACTTCATTCATTTGGTAATTTCATGTATCCACATCCGAGATATCCGTTTCGCTGTTATCTTAAATCTTAAAATAATAATACAAGAAAAAAAGTTAAAATATTAGGAAGAAAAGAAAATACTTTAAGACTTAAAGCCTTAAAGACTTTCTTTTCTTTCTTCTTTAACTCTTTTTTTTTCTTGTATTGTCCACGTCTCAGGTTTTGCTTTCTAGTTAAACTGTTCATTCAACTTGCAATTAGATTTGGACCGTTTTATTAACTTTATTAATCTCTGCTGCTATTACTATTCGCGAAATGTTAATGTTACTTGGAATCTTATAGTTGGAATCTTTTTGCACTTGTTTCGCACTTTACAGAAAATTACAACGAGATGTACATTTAACGGATCATTATTCTAAAATGAAATACAGAACTCTTAATTCATTTTAAATTGTATGCTTATAAACGTCTAATAGTAATTTCTACTGGTAAATGCTTCTTTTATTAGGTTGCCGCGGCAAATAGAAGTCCGAGAGATTCTAGAAAGCTATTAATGACTCTATTACGACTAGTATTTAACTTTAAGAAACTATGCTTCAAGAAATTATGTTTCCGATTTTAAGATGTTTATTAGCATGATTATTAAATTGGCGATCAATTTAACTTGTGTATTATTATTTCAATTTCAGTTTATGATTGGATTTCTTTCAATAACTGATACACATTATCACTGTACAGTTGATGTTATTGGAAGATATATTTAAAATTTATATAAAATGTATTATTAGGCATCAAAATCCAGCATCGATTATATTGGCGCCTTTTTATTTATTTGATTCTGTCGATTTTATTTGGCAATTAAAACGAACAGGCGTGCTGGCAGAAAAAATAAAAACTGTGAAAAAAAAGTTTTTTTACCGCAAAAAAATGGAAATCTGGTAGTCTCTTTCGAAAGTTATTAAGTCTGTTCGCGTTGCTCGAAATTCCCAAAAATTTTTACACTTAAAATGAGATAAATATATTCGGGCATTGAAAAGAAAGAATGCGAAATGATAAGTGCAAAAAGTGCAAGCATTATAAAGTATCAATTATGTAGCGATGCGATGACTCGAATTTTGGACTCAAATTGGATTCTTAAAGATACTCGAGCAACTCAAAATCGATCTCGATCAACTCGAGTTTCGAATATTATGGGAATACTTATTACTGTACTCGCACTTTCGAATTAAATTAGTGTGTGTTCCAAAACTGGACTCTGTCAACTCCAAAAATAATAACAAAAGTTCCTATTATATTTTCTAAATGAAATTTTAATTTTGTTTAAAAAGAATGTGAAAGAATATTATTAATAAAATTTATAACTTATGTGTTTTGTATTGACATAATTCTAATAAATGTTTTTGATAGATGAATAAATATTTATTTCTGTTCATATTTAATTCTGTTTTTCCTAAAAACTAATCTAAGTTTTATGATTTTATGTGCTGATTTGTAATACTTTTATGAGTTCTGTTTTATGACAGAGGAACAGAGAAATGAAACAATGAAACCAGCTATATGTATATTGCGCAGTTGCTCTAAAATTATAAAGTATCCTAAAAACGAAGTTTGTTTTTTAGGAAAGTGAGTAAAATCAAAGGTCACTATTTTTTTAATCTCGTTTGATTGGAATTTATATACAGGATGCCTCAAAATAATCGTCAAATATTTCGTGGGCAGGTAGAGCGGACTAAACTAAATCGAAAAGTCCTCTATCATTTTACAATTTTCAACAGAAAAACTGCAAGAGACAAAAATTGTTTTTTTCTTATAAAATTCTAAGAAATTTTTTAGAATCTTTTCAAAATTTTTTAATGTCGTATTTTTTTATATTTGTAAAAATAAGAAAATATAGTACTAAAAAGTTGAAAAATTCTGAAAAAATTCTTAGAGTTTTATGAGAAAAAAATTAATAATTTTTGTCTCTTACAGTTTTTCTGTAAAGTTGATAGTATTTAAGTAAAAAATTATTAAAGTCCAATTTTTAGAAATTTTTAATAATTAATATCTTGTTAACTATTACGAAAATTGCAAAATGGTAGAGGACTTTTTGACTCAGTTTAATCCGCTCTACCTATCCATGAAATATTTGGCGATTATTTTGGGACACCCTGTATATTAAATCATCCGATACTCGAATACTAAGATTTTAATTTAGTCAAGTCTAGATTGTATCTCTAATCTGATACTCAAATTATTCGACTCAAGTTCAGAAAATAATCGAATCCAGATTTTTCACTAAAATGTACAAGTTACTCGAGTCTCGAAATAAATGAGTCGTTATCACTATCAATTAACAACTAACAATTAGGAGAAGCTATTCAATATTTTCGATTTGACTTGTATGATATACACGTATGACCATGTCTTGTGAGACATAAAAACCATGAAAAAAACAGTCTTTTCTATCTGTTGACGCGCGATGCCCGGTGCACTTCCGAGATGTGAATTTCTGCGCGCGAACATTTCCATACGCCTCGTGCGGCCGTGTGCGTGCGCGTGCGCGTGTGCGTGTGCGTGTGTACGCACGTGTGTGCGTACACGCGCGGCGCGGCGACGCGATTCCGTCGTTCTTTCGGCCTGCTCTCGACTCGACCCACGACCACGGCCCTCAACGGCCTCGCCGACCGGCGCTGGTCTGGCAACGTCGCGGGCGGCATAGATTCCGCTCCGCAACCGCAACCGCACGTTTGCCGCCGGGCCGCCATGATACCCGAAGCCGTGCTGGCCGTGCAACGGTTTCTCCGCAGTGACGCGCAAGCCGCTGCCGACGACGCGACACGATAACGCTGGACGAGCAACACGACAGCGGCTGTTCCGTTTGCTAATTTTGATAAATTCACTTTCGCGTATTATTACCGATTAATAATAATCAAACCCGGTGACCATCGTGGTCTTTGTGGCTGGAAGGAATCGGTAATGCTCCATCGTCGATCTTGATCTCTTTTTCGAAAATTTGAACTATCCGCGAAGAATTCGAAAGATTATTTCGCCACTGTCATTATCTAAAACTCATTAAAAGACTTTCGTTCGATAGGGACTTTATTGATCTTTCATTTTGAGAAATATTTTGGAAAGTACTATCGAATCGAAGTTATATCTGCACGAGGCGCAAGATCGAGTTGCGAAGCGGAAGGACAGTCACGAGCGAGTATAATTGAAGAAAAGAATTTTTTTTGGTGGATCTATGAACATGTTCGACACGGAGAGGTTCATCGAGGAAATAGAAAGGCGGCCGGCGATCTACGATGTGAATCGCGGCGAGTACAACGACCGTAACGCCAAGATGACCGCGTGGGACGAGGTCTGCCAGGTGATGGTACCGAATTGGGCGCGCTTGACGGACGAGGAGAGAAACGTCGAAGGTATATGGCTGCACCACGATTGATCGATCCGGATTCCTTCAGCCGCCGAAACACCGAATTGCAGCGGAAATCCAAAAACTTTGAACTGTCGCGAATCGATATTTTCCGCGCGATCGAATTAATAGAGCTATTTCATTGAAAAGGTTTTTAAAAAAGATTAAAAAACGATGATCTAAGTGGAAAAGGTTTGGACAAACACGTCTCCACGTGGTCTCGAGTTTTGATAAAGGAAATGGAGAGAATTGAGGAAAACGCAATGCGGTTTGGACATATTAATTAGATGGCGTTGTTGTAGATAGTGTTTTACTAAATTTTTACTTTGAGGATCGACGGGATAGACAATAGGCCTATTCTTTTTAGCTAAAGTTCTTGCACAGTTCATTCTTCTTGTTTTCTCCACGTTGGAAAGAAAAAAGAAAAGATGAACCGTGCAAGAAGTTCAGTTAAAAAAAATAGATCTTATGGAGACGGAGATGAATTTTTTTATGTTGAAATTATGACTAAAATATTACATGAATATAGCGTTTTAATTGCAGTACCTATTCGTAATCAAGAAGGTCACCTGAAGATTCATACAGAGCGATTTTTTTTTTAAGAAAAAAGCAAAATAAAAATTCATTTTGATATTTCCTGATATATACTATAGTGCTCTTAGGTGCATACAATTTTATTTATTATATATAACTTTTCAAGAATTAATTTGCAAAATCCGGTTTTGTACGTGTCTTTATAGCTCTAAAAAAAGAAAACCAAAAAGGTCTCATGTGTGACGTAATATTCTAAAAGATAAAATATAATCATAAAAATGAATCTCTGTATCGTAAATAAGAAGTTACATCATTTTATTTATTATAAAATATTGTTTTTAATAGCGAAATTGCAAAATTTGGCTTTTTAATAGGCTTCATAAAATATAAGCCAAAACAAGTTTCATGGCAAAATATTTCTTCTAGAGTGCAGATATATAGCTGCACTACAAATGAAGTGTAAATGAGTCGGTTTATTACTTCTGTTGTCCCTTCCTTTAGACTCTGTATGTGTTGTAACGTATATTTAATCTGAAAACATTATTCATTGAAATTATTTAATTCTATCAATGTTATTTGAAATCTAATGTACATGTTAAAAAAATAGTTAAAAAATTAAAAAAAAATTTTTTAGTATAAATTACTTATTAAAATGCCCTTAAATTGAATTAAAAATTTAACATGGTTCTATTAAAATCAGGTTTGAAGAAGATATTTATGAAAAAAATGTTTTGATACATTATTGTTCCTTTTAAAATCATAATTTGTTCACTGAGAAAAAAAGTTCTTAGTATTTGTGACCATCATAATTAAATTATAGTTATTACTGCCACAATGTTAATAATAACTATATATGTATAGATTAAATTATAATATTCATAGTTATTTTTGAAGTCTATCAGTATATAATTATTCTAAAAAATGATTATAAAATATTATATTATTGTAATTGTAATAATTTTTATGGTATATAATAATAATTATGTAATCATTTTCGATATCAATTATATATATTTATTGATAGAACTGTATCACATATAGTTATCATTATTAACATTATAGTAGTAATAACTATAGTAATAATTATAGTAATTCCCAAGTAACACACAGCGTCTACAAAGCGTTTAAAACGTGTATATATTTTTTAGCGCTTTACAGGCGATGTTATGCTACTTGAGTGCACATATAATTATATGTATAGTTACAAATCTAAAAATTTTTCTCCCAATGTACACGAACATAATTAAAATTACACAATTGTAAAATCTGTGTTAAATTTAACATATTTTATATGATTCAAATGGTTTCAAATTTTTGCATTAATTTGACTTGTGTAGTTATCATAGGATGACTACACAAATATATTACGTTATATAAAAATTAATATAAAAAGTATAACATTGACACAATTTAGAAGCAAATTGTGGAAGTTTTATTTTTTCAGTAAAACATATTTTTTTTGTTATCGTTAAAGCTATATATATAAAAATTTATATATATTTGTTATTATTTGTTCATTTATTTATAAATTACGTCATTTTAACTAATTGTAAGAAATGTTCAATATCAATTTAACAAAATATTTAAATAACATAATTACATATTAAATTAATATTCGATTATGTTAAAAATTTAACAAGAAAATTTTAACTAAAAAATGAAGAACACGAAGGAATTCTATGCAGCAAAAAATTTTACTACAAAATTTTTGTACTTATGTCAAAACAAATACAAAATATTTTTACCGTGTAGAATCCCTTCGTATTTTTCATTTTTTCTAGATAACGAAAAAATTAGGAAGCAAAATAAACTTTTCAAAAATTTTATAAAAAATTCCCTAAATATATGAACATTATTATTATTCTGTTATTTTACATCTTATAGAAGAAAATTGTAACTGTTGGTTTGTAATTATTTTTAGAGAAAAATTTACGCGGAAAATGGAGGAATATACGAGATTACTTTATGAAAGAACTGAAACTTCAGAAATCGCACAAATCTGGGCCCGCCGGACGAAAACGGAAGAAGTACATGTACTTCGATCGATTATTATTCCTTATGCCAACAGTGGAGAACAAAAGGTATCAACTGTCGTCAGAAGCGACAAACGATCGATAATAACGCTAAGTTAAATCTTGTTTTAGGATTCCCACGAGCATCAATCTTCCTTGCAAATCGGAGGAAAGCGAGGGTGAGGTGGACAATCCCGTGATCGAGGAGTACGATCCCCTTACACACGGTGGTGCCTCTATAACAGGTACCTCTATAACAGGTAGCCGCGAGTATCTTCAGACGGGTACACCCTCGTACAAGGTGTGCCCGCGTTATTCGAAACAGCTGTGCGAGACATCCTTCACGCCCTTCGACAACGAAATACATGACATCCTCTCCTCGCATAGCAGTCAACGCGTTACCCTCGACGAGGATGACTACGACAAGATGTTTCTTCTTTCGCTGCTACCAATCATCAGACAGGTGCCGGAGGAGAAGAAGCTAGATGTTAGAATACAGATGCAGCAAGTTCTGGCCATGGCGCTCCGTCCGTCTGACAATAAATAAACTGTTCAGCGTGCGTGATTTTTCTTTTTAGCAAGAGAAGATAATCAAAATGTGCATAGAATAGAAAAAGTTTTTGCAGTGACTTATTTACATTATGAATATCTCGTGATTTAGCTTGTTTTAGCCTATTTTCTTGGAGAGATTAATTATCTTTACATGTTCTAATGGAAATTTTGAATGGAAATTGTTAGTCTAAGATTTTATTCTAAAATTTAATGGATATGCATACATAATATAGAAACTATTTCGTTTACTGTGTCTTAACGCGTCTTTGCAAGGTTTACATTCGGCAAAGTACTTTGTTATTTTTTATTATGTAAGCATAATTGTAGATATAGCATGTTCATGACGTTTTTAACGATTAAGGTAATTGCATAAAAAGTTTAAACTACACATACATATGTAAATCTAATGAGAACGCTATATTGAAATAATCACAATTATAGAATATTCCAGAATATTTAATATAAATTTTATACAAAGTAAATATGAATATAAATACTGCGTCTGTGATATATTAAGCTCTACTTGACAATCGAAGAGATGAAGACATCATATGTGTAATATGACACAATCTTATCATGATTAAGATAATTTAACTGAAATCAATTGAAATATATGTCGCACGTCTTATTCTGCAAGTTCCTATTTCCCAGCTCTGCATTGTATTTTAGACTTCAAAAATATGTTTCATGAATTTTAGGACATCTTTATGATGTCTTATAAGACGTCTCAATGTTCTCTGGGATATTTTATTATGAAATATTAAGAGAATAAATCTTGTACATGTAACGATTTTAAATATTAATAAATTACAAAACAACCAATAATGTACTATTATATAAATAATAGTACTGATTTTAAATTGGGACATAAATAATATCCTTATTATTATTTATTTAAAACAAAAATATGTATGTAGTACAAAAATTCATATTGAATTTGACATATTTCGCATGTCCTAAATAGCGCACTCAAGTTTTTATGTTAATTTAAAACAATATATTAGGTGTTGGAATTAATTCGTAGCGTTTTTAATGAAAGAATGTTATTTATTTCACATGAGCATTAAAAAATACATTAATGAAAGTACTTCCCATCACTTGTAAAACGCTACGGATTAATTCCAACACCTAATATATTATTTTTATGTTTGTTTATTTACTCATAAATTATGTTATTTTAAGATATCAAATGATACTAAGATATCAAATATCAATTTAATATAAAATATTCAGATAATAATTACATTACATTAAACTAACACTCAAGTATGTTAAAAATCCAACACAAAAATTTTAACACTGGTACATTGAAAACAATTTTTGATTAAAAATGGACGAATCAGAATTGCTCGTTTACTAAAATTTTAGTTAAAATAATCAGAATTCTGATTAATATAATATGTATATTGTTGAAAAATTATCATTTTTTCTGTGCAGTTATCATTTCTATTGCTAATTAAATTCGGATTATGACATTAAAAACACAATTTTAAATAAAAAAACGAGTATTATTAAGTTTTAAACATATATATATATATATATATATATATATATATATATGTTATATATATTCGTGACTAAGAGAGGGCAAATGCACGTTTCTTATCTCGTGCGTTTTAACTGCACCAGATGATACTCTCCATTATTCCGTAGAAAAGAAAAAAGACAC